TTTTTTTAGTAGAGATGAGGTTTCACCCTGTTGGCCAGGCTGGTCTCGAACTCCTGACCTCAGGTGATCCACCTGCGTCAGCCTCTCAAAGTGCCGGGATGACAGGCGTGAGCCACCACCCCTGGGCACTAAGATACCATTTTGTTTGTTTGTTTTGTTTTTGGAGGCAGAGTGTCACTCCGTCACCCAGGCTTGAGTGCGGTGACAGAATCTCAGCTCAGTGCAACTTCTGCCTTCTGGGTTCAAGAGATTCTCCTGCCTCAGCCTCCTGAGTAGCTAGGATGACAGGCGCCCACCACCAGGCCTGGCTAAATTCTGTATTTTTAGTGGACATGAGATTTCTTCGTGTTGGCCAGGCTGGTCTCGAACTCCTGACCTCAGGTGATCCACTTGCCTCGGCCTCCCAAAGGGCTGGGATGGCAGGCATGAGCCAACACACGTGGCTGGTAAGATAACTGTATTAAGTACATCATCTGAGACTGGGGGTCACCTCCCCATCTGGGGGGTGGGGGTGTCTTTCTCATGGAACGAGGAGGAAACGCAGCCAGGAACCCCAGGGCACGGACACTCGCCCCTCCCCGGCTGCGTTTGCTTAGTCAGGAAGCCTTCCCCATCCTGCCTGAATACAAGGCACCAACTATAATTCTTACGAACGCGAACCCTCGCCGGAAAATGAGCACGGGGGGTGGAAAAATGACCATCTTCAAAGAAAGAGTTTCTCTTTCAAGGAAATCCGGCCGCAGTTACCAAAAGCCACTGACCCCGGAATGCCGGCCCCAGGGAGAGGGGGTGTCAGGAAGGCCCCCTCCCTGCCAGATGGGCCTTGGGTCTGACTCCCAGGGGTGGGGCTGCGCGGGAGGTTATAAAACGGCTGTAGGGGGGACTGGAAGCTTCGCTTTCTCTTTGGAGACGCTTCCTTGAGCACGAACAGGAAAATAACGGGAACGTCCAGAGCTGTGGACACAGTCCTCAGACGGGGACACCTCAGGCCTTCTGCACTGGAGCGAGGAAGGCTGCTTCTCCCACACGGGACTTCCATCTGCATTTAAGGTAAAGTCCTCTCTCTCCGGGGGGCATGAGGGCGAGAGGGCAGCCGGGGTGGTTGTGGCGTGTGTGATCCTAAATCCACGCTGGCAGGGACGGGCCCAGGTACGGGTGTCGGCACGTAACGGATTTCTGCTCACGCCTCCTGTCTGTGAACAGCGCACACCCCACTGAATAGCCTGACACACACGACTGAACAACCAGACACACACCACACTGAGCAACCAGACACACACCCAGTGATCA